TCATGGAGGATAAGGCAGGGCACCCTAACAACCTCGAATGGGGTGAGATCGTCGCTGAAGTCGGCGCTATCATCAATGCTGGGGCCGACACCACAGCGATTGCCCTAACCCAAGTCTTGGATATGTTGATTAGACATCCGAAGTACCTGCAAAGATTGCGGGAAGAGGTGGACAGTGCCCTGGACGAAAATGAAGTGGTCGCACCATACGATAAGGTGAAGAACCTTCCGTTCCTACGCGCTTGTTTGGATGAAGCATTGCGCCTGATCCCCCCTACATCAGCTGGACTACCCCGACGGACCCCGCCGGAAGGAGCTCAGATATTGAACGAATGGATCCCGGGTGACACCAGCGTGTCGATGACAAGCTATTCGGCCCATCGGGATCCTGAAATTTTCCCGGATCCCGAGGAATATAACCCGGACCGATGGATGGATTTGGACACCCGGAAGCGCATGGAGCCGTACTTTGTCCCGTTCTCGACGGGGGCCCGGGGGTGTCTCGGTCGGAATATCACGTATCTTGAGCAGACTGTTGTCCTTGCGACACTGGTGCATCGGTATGACTTTGCGCTGCCGGCCAATTGGAAGCTCGGTCGGTTCGAGGCATTTAACCTGATCATGGGCGAGATGCCGATGAAGATATGGCGAAGGGAAAACGCGTGACAGTGTTAGAATAGGTATCTTTGGTAGACGATGTTAATGAATTTGAGGATCATGATCATGGTTGCAATTATCCACTTTTTGCTATTTGAGACCGGATCTAGTGGTTTTTCGTGTCTGTTCTCGATGGAGAAGTGGATACGGACAGGCATCCCGAGTACATACACAGTACAAGTGGAACCACGATCAGTTCATATACCCACAGATATTTAGCCTAGGACCCTGATTGACAAAGCCCCTTAAGCATAACCTTCAGACTTCCAGGGATAGTGAACTATCACAAGATTCTGATTCCAGAAAAGGATTCTTCCAACGTTCATCCAAACGGGGATCGTGCATGGACTTTAGCCGTCAAGCCGTCTGGAAGGGAATCTGCAGCCAAGACTGCCCAGCGCAGCATTAATTAATTAATCTGCGGGGACAAGCTTCCTCAAGGCTATTCGTGGACCATTCATTAAATTACCTTCCTCGCATTTCAGCCGTGAGCTTTAGCCGGACTATTTATGATAGTGCTGTCGGTATGCATGGTGATTAACCGAAAGCCTGTCGCCGGGATCACAATCTCCCATTCTCGATCCTTTCATTTGTTCAATCTGATCCATTTAATCCACTCAAGATGCCTGTGATGCCTTGCAATCCCCCTCCGGAGAATCATCGGCGCCTGACATCATGAGAGCTATACGACGCATGGATTCTAACCGGTGCCAATTTCTAAATTGAACCTACTGACTGACGTGGAGAGCTAGCCTTGGCCTGCTGCTTTGCTGTGTGGGGTTTAATATTTTTTTTCCACGAGCTCATTTCATTTCTCCGGCGGGCTAAGCCAGGCTGAGAAAATGGCCTGAGATTTAAAGTCGTTGCATTTCCCCTCGTCGGAGGACCTTTGCGATTCTTCCGTTTCTGCGTGGAGGGCGACGCGATTACTCACGGAAGCTCTTCTTAACCAAGAGATATGGTTTCCGGTATCTTTACGAAGGGGCTTCTGCTCCTGGGCCTCTTGTCTGGCCTGTCCTTTGGCCAAGATGAGAAACCTCGCTACAAAGATCCCAATGCTCCGGTGGAGGAGCGTGTCACTGATCTGTTGGGTCGCATGACACTCGAGGAGAAGATGTCTCAATTGATTCAGGGTGCGATTGGAACTGTCCCAACAGCTCTATGGCTGAGTCACTAATTGATCATCGCAGGCGACATCACCAACTGGATGAATGAGACTACGGGAGAATTCAACCTCACGGGTTTGGAATGGAGTACGAAAATGAGGGGTGGAATGTTTTACGGTAAGCAATTGACCTCGCAGAATTATTATTGTTGCGGTAGCTAACGAACTATGGCTTTCTAGTTGGATACCCTGTGCCTTGGGATTACATTGCAGACAATGTCAAGCGAGCTCAGGACTATCTCCTCCAGAACACGACTCTGGGAATTCCGGCCATTGTTCAAACAGAGTGTATGTTCTAGTCATGTTCGATTCGCTGAAACCTGCGTTGACAACCTTTCCTTTCATAGCTCTCCATGGGTTCCTAATCGGTAATGCAACGATCTATAACTCTCCCATCGGGTTCGCATGCTCGTTCAACCCGGAGGTGAGCCTACCCCTCCCAAGACTCGTTAGACAAGACCCCCGAGAACAGCGAAGCTAATGAACACAATCCCAGCTGATCGAGAAAATGGCACTCCTCATCAGTCAGGAGGCCACGGCCCTTGGAGTCAACCATCTGATGGGACCTGTGGTTGATCTCGCTCGTGAACTGCGATTCGGAAGAGTAAGTCTTATACTAAGTTTCCTGCACAGAACCGACCTAACCTTCATTTGCAGGTCGAAGAGACATACGGTGAAGACCCATACCTTGCAGGTGAAATCGGATACCACTATACCAAGGGAATCCAAAGTCTCAATGTCTCCGCCAACGTCAAGCACTTCGTGGGATTCTCCCAACCCGAACAAGGTCTGAACACTGCGCCTGTTCACGGAGGAGAGAGATATCTGCGCACAACGTATGTACTCTGTTCTTACCAACCATGCTTTTATCCAGCCTTAACTAACCCGATTCAATATAGTTGGTTGCCATCATTCAAGCGCGCGATCATGGATGCCGGAGCTTGGAGTATCATGAGTGCGTACCACTCGTAAGTATACATTCGTTGCCGTGCATAATATCTTAGTTCAATCAAGTTTCTAACCATGAACAGATACGACGGTATCCCCGCCGTAGCCGACTACCACACCCTCACCGAAATCCTCCGCGAAGAATGGGGCTTCAAATACTGGGTGACCAGCGACGCCGGCGCAACCGACAGGGTCTGCACAGCCTTCAAGCTCTGCCGCGCCGACCCCATCGACAAGGAAGCCGTTACACTCGCCGTGCTCCCGGCCGGAAACGACGTTGAAATGGGCGGTGGCTCATAGTAAGTTGTCATGTCATTCCATTCTCTCAACAGGTTGATAAATATCTAACACGTGATAGCAACTTCGAAACGATCATCGACCTGGTCAATGCCGGCAAGCTCGATATTGAAATCGTCAACACAGCTGTATCTCGTCTGCTCCGTGCGAAGTTCGAAATGGGTCTCTTCGAGAACCCCTATAATGCTGCTCCGGCGTCTGAGTGGCACAAGCTCATCCATTCCCAAGAGGCTGTTGATCTTGCCCGTGAGCTGGATCGCGAGTCGATTGTTCTGCTCGAGAATCATAATAATGCGCTTCCGCTGAAGAAGAGCGGTAATATTGCTGTTATCGGGCCTATGGCACATGGTTTTATGAACGTGAGTCTTTGCTGGGTTCTTCTAGCGGTCCATTAGAGATGAATCGCACATGCATAAAACACCAGCGATAATGCTAACTGACACCCGCAGTACGGAGACTACGTCGTCTACGAAAGCCAGTACCGCGGCGTGACACCCCTAGATGGCATCAAAGCCGCTGTCGGCGACAAGGCAACAATCAACTACGCCCAGGGCTGCGAACGCTGGAGCAACGACCAATCCGGCTTCGCCGAGGCAGTCGAAGCAGCCAAGAAATCCGACGTAGCAGTCGTAGTCGTGGGCACCTGGTCTCGCGACCAGAAGGAACTCTGGGCCGGTCTCAACGCAACGTAAGTCCACCCTATCCCCTTCCTCTCCAAATATCACCTTCATGAAACTAACAAAAAGCATGACAGAACCGGCGAGCACGTCGACGTAAACAGCCTCAACCTCGTCGGTGCCCAAGCACCCCTCATCAAAGCGATCGTCGACACGGGCGTGCCCACCGTCGTCGTCCTCTCCAGCGGCAAGCCCATCACGGAACCCTGGCTCTCGAACAGCACCGCTGCGCTCGTCCAGCAATTCTACCCCTCCGAGCAAGGTGGCAATGCCCTCGCCGACGTCCTCTTCGGCGACTACAACCCCTCCGGCAAACTGTCCGTCAGCTTCCCGCGCTCCGTCGGCGATCTGCCCATCTACTACGACTATCTTAACTCAGCGCGCGAGATCGGTGATGCAGGGTATATTTATTCCAATGGAACGCTTGAGTTCGGTCACCAGTATGCGCTTGGGAACCCCAAGGCGTGGTATCCCTTCGGGTATGGAAAGAGTTACTCCAGCTTCGAGTATGGGGCTGTTAAACTTGATAAGACGAATGTGACGGCGGCGGATACAGTTACTGTTAGTGTTGAGGTGAAGAATACGGACGCTGCAAGGGATGGTACGGAGGTTGTGCAGGTGTATGTTGTTGACGAGGTTGCGTCGGTGGTGGTGCCAAATCGGTTGCTGAAGGGGTTCAAGAAGGTTGTCATTCCTGCTGGGCAGAGTAAGACGGTGGAGATTCCGTTGAAGGTCCAGGACTTGGGGCTGTGGAATGTACGCATGAAGTATGTTGTTGAGCCTGGGGCTTTTGGTGTGCTTGTGGGAAGCAGCTCTGAGGATATTCGGGGTAATGCTACTTTCTATGTGCAGTGAGTGATTGGGGAGTTTGCTTGAGGTAGACGGAGGATGGTTGGTTTGTGATGGATTCTGATTCTGAACTTTTGAATTATATACTTATTTGCTCAGTTATCATTAATATGGTACTTTCCCGTGGACATGACTCGTAAATTACCGTGATTCATGGGCTGATGCGTAGTTGCATGCCTTTTTGCTTCCCAAATCTGCAGTGAGCGACCTTGATGTAGCCCCTTCATAATAAACCCGAAAACACAGTTCATGAACTCAAAAAGCACATAAAGAAGAGAAGAGATATGCATGACATAATCATCGTACATCTCTCAACGAAAGCAATTGTCAATGTTCCGTGGGGGACCTTAAGCTTGCAAACTCAACACGTCCTTGAGACTCGATGGAATGAGGTCTGGAAACTATGACTCAGCTAGAAGAGTCGTTTTTGCCTTCAGGTTCATTACCTGAGTTGGTATCGTTTTCAGTTCCTCCCTCGGCTTGCACTTGCGTGGCCTCACTAGCTTTCTGTGTGCTGGTACTGCCAGTCCGAACCGGTGTGCTAGGCTCTGCATAGCTGTTCCTATCTCCAGTTGACCTGCCCTCTCGCCGAGTTTTCGCACCCTCCTTTAGCTTCTCCCATCGATCTCTATATCTTCCCAGGACATTTCGTAGTTTGTCGTTCTCACGACCAACCTTGTCGAGTTCTTTCTCGCTCTGTTGGATCAGTTCCTCAAGCTCTCTGATGCGTTGCTCTTGATCTGCAGTGGCTGGTGTAGAGAGAGATGTGGTAGGTGAAGCGACAGTAGGAGTAGACTGTGGGTAGTGCTCTGGGGATGGAACATTTTGATGATGCATTGCTCTCAGAGATTGCTGCAAAGCCATGGAAGATGATTGCGCGTTAACCTCCCACATGTGCAGTCGTTTGGATAAAGTATCAGTCAGATGCTTCAGAGCTTGGTTTTCCATCTGTAATTCCTCTAGAGTCTTGGGGCTCTGCATGCTGGTGAGTTTGTCTTTGCCGCGAGTGCCCCTGCCCTTGCTCCCCGTCATGCTCTGACGCATTTCGGGTGATGGCGGTGTCTCACGGGCGTCCACGAAGTCCTCATCGCCCTCTTCGAAGCTACTTCTCCGGGCTTCCTTTTCGGCCCTGCTCAAGATCCCAGCATAGGAAACAGTTCCACCCGTTGTGGGTACGACGTAGAACGATTCAGCTGTGCTTCCTGTTCCCCCGCCCGTTGAATCTCGGACAGCTCGTAGTGCAGCACGCGAAAATATTTTGCTGATATCTGTGTCCCCAGATTGACTCTGGCGATCGGAAACTGCAGGTTGACGGTCCACCTTCGTCTCTGCTGACGTTTTGCGCGCAGATTCAGCCTTTTCCGACACGTCTGACCCCAAAGGGAGGCCTGCGAAAGCCAACGGTGCGGACAATCTGGAAATAAGTCCTTCAAAGGTAGAATAGAACCGTTGAAATGGCTCCTCGGATGTGGCTTGTATGTCCTTAAGATGGGACGACTCGGCGTCCGGAGGTACAAATTGTTGCGAGGTGATATCGGTAGGGCTGGCTGCAGGTGGATTCCATGACTGCTTAGAGGGCGTCCGGTGGGAACGTTCCTTTGTCGCATAGGCCTGTCTTTCTCGTAATCGAGCCTCACTGGTTCTGATCTTTGCCGGTCCCTCTGTCATCTTCGCTCCTGCCTGCTGAGAGGAAACTGTAGGTGACACCGGAGAGCCACGGCGTGGCTGCGACGGAATGCCTCGAGCGGAGGCCAAGTTGCTAGCGATGGACGAAGTCTCCCTTGCCGGTAGGCGAGCGTGTCCTAGTAGCTTTGGTGGATGTTGCTGTGTATCTATCTTCGCTGCCCCCGATTCCATGGTCACTTGTTGTGTACTCGTGGCAGCGGCAGGCGGGTTCTCATGCTGGAATCGCAAGATTTGTGCGAGCTTCTTATGATGTTGCTCGAGAAGCTGTAGCGTCCTCAGGGCCTGTGTGATGTGCACATGTGAGCGTCTACCAACCCTGAAGGGCTAGCGGATAAGCATACTTCACGATCTGAGCTTTTCTGGGCCGCCGCAGCGAACTCGCCCGCGGCCAAGTCATGTTCCTCACTCGCAGCGACAGGGTTTGACTTGCGGGTCTCAAGAACTGCATTTCGTGCATGGGTATGAGCCTTGCGCGGGGAGATCTGTCAGGCTGGGTATACGATGCAAAAAGCCCCCAGTGTTGGTCGATGACATACCAAGGTAAGCGGTGCAGTCTCCATAGCTGCAGCAATAGCCTATCTCTCTCTCCAGGTCCGTCCGTTCAACTAACAGCCTTGATGGTGGACTGTGGAATGAAAAGAGTGACAAGCAACATCTTGGAGTCGCACCACACGAGTGACGCCATTACCCGGATCACGAGCCTGTACGGTAATTTACCAGTACCATTACCGATCTTAGTCATCCTGGTCTAGATCGCATATTTTCAAACACTCAAGAATGTACATATTACTTCTTACTACATAGTTACACCGTGTACGCCATGCCATACTTGCACCGAAGGTAACCCCCTGTTGCAATCTTCTCTCGAGTTACTGCTCTTGGATTTCGGCTGCCTTTCCAGCCTACGTAACATCGCAACCGGTGTTGAAACGCAACGTTGCAAGCGGCGATATTCTCCCGATCCGGTGTTCGTGCTTGATGCAGGATTCCTCGAGTATGGAAATGAAACAGGGGCAGAAGATGGCTTAGACAGGAGCTACCGGCAAGCCATTTTACTTTGTTCTGTTGACGTCGACTGAGCCTCTCAGCACCCCACACAGATGTGTAACGCTGAATATAGAGGGCTCTACGATGGGCCTTTCCCCTACAAGTATTTATGTTTACTTAACTGCTGCTCCTGGGCAATCCGACTCCGAAAGCGTAAGATATATCTAACTATATTAGCACATGTCCAAGATGTTAAGAACAAGCAATCATGCCTTCCTTAGGTTTGGCATGAGATGGACGAACTTCCAATTAGATAATCCCAGGAGTCAACCAAAAGCAGACAAAGATGCTCAATTTAACTTGGCCGCTAAATTGTCACTACACTTTGATATATGTTTCGTACGAGCCGCTAGAGCATACAGCGCCTCATCAGTATCCTCAATCTCTTCTTGTGGCCCAGGCACCATTTGATCATAATTAGCTTCATCTGGATCCAATTCTCCTGAGCAGAGCTCCCATACTCTAAAATCACTCCACGGATCAAAACGGGGAGGGCTGAAGACTGGATGGTCCAACTCATCAACGTCTTCAAGATCGACTATGAAGCTAAACAAGGTTGTTAATGGAGATACCTCAGCTGTATTGGAACCAGATACATACCATCGCTCGGTTCCTTCATCCCAGATAATATTACGTCGAGCAGGGTCATGGTGGGAAAGCTTGAAGCTGTAGAACTCGCTATACAATGTCTTTAGCTGAAGCCTCCTGAGGGAATGCATAGCGACAAAGGGGACCTACCGAATAGCTTTAGCAAAGACTATCCGCACTCGATTTCTTTTCGCAAGTTGAAATTCAGAGAATGCTCGTTCAAGGTTCAATCCAGGGAGTTTCTCCATGAGAACGCCACAAAGTATCCATCAGGTACAGGGTCATCATCATCCTGTTCAAAAGCAGTAAAGTCAATCAAGCGGGGTGTGCTGCTACAACCACCATCAGTGAGCTTTTGCAAAACAGATAGCTCTCGGATGATTTCTTGAGTGACCGGAAGACATTCAGCACAGGACGTGTCCTCTGTCCAAGGCTCCATTCTGAACAGTGTTAGAATATAGATAAAATATATATCGTAAAATTATTGCTGCGGCTATTCTGGTCGCTCAAAACTCAAGGGGAACACATATTGTGCTTTAATCTTCAAGACGGCTTTCATATCCAGAGAAGGGCCTTCGACCTGTGTAGCCACATATATTGAAGACACATCCTTCGTACGTCCAAATCTTTCATCATCATGTATCCGAAATTTCTGAGCTCGTATTGCCCCTATTCTCCATGAAGTCTGGATATGCTTGAAGAATACAACATGGTCTCTAGGGATAAAGTTGTAAATTTTAGCCTCATAGCTCTGCTGGGGTGGATCAAAGAGCTCGTCACTTGCAGTAGATTGCATATTTGAAGTAGGAAATGCTGTTGAATTTGAAATGTTCGTTTGTGATATTGGGATTGTGGAGTGGATGGACATGGGGGATCAATAAAGCAAGACCCCTATTGTAGAGCTGGCGGCGGCTTTAGCGGTGTGTCACAGGGTCTGGTCCCCCAAACGAAGGAACAAAGGTGGTTTCCAGCTCGATAAGAGCACAAGGCCAGTGCCCTCACCACAACCCACGAAACATAGGCATCATGATTCTATTAAAGATGATGAGAAGAGCTACACGGTGGGCACTATGCAGAACAAATCGAAGGGCACTTTCTGCTATCAACCCCAAATCCACTCTTCCGAACCATATTAATAAGTTGTATGGGAAATTCACTTAAACTGTGCTAAGTCTCGGCTATAGGATCGAAACAAAAGGGAGAATCCTTTCTTCTGTTATATTTCTGGTCGCTGGTTATGGGATGAAGCCGCACAGCTTCGCAGGCGATACCAGCCTTTCAACATTGAGAAGCTCAAAAAGGCCGCAGCCAGATCAGTCCGTGCGAAATGCTGTACAGACATGATAAAGCTACCTGGAAGTTCATACAATAAGATATTTCTTTTGTCAAATGAACAATGGTATTCAGGTCATTGCAAAAATTCCAAGCCCTTATATCCTCCAGAAATTTACAACAGCCACTGAAGTTGCTACTTTTGATTTCCTGCACAACGAGCTGGATATCCCGGTTCCACATGTTTTCGCAAGGAGCAACAAGAAAGACTAGCCTGTTGGTGTACAGTACATGATTATGGCGAAAGCTCCCGGTAACGAACTGAGCGAATACAGAGGACCCTGTAAGCAAACCTGATGAGTATACTGTGGGTATCCTGCTAATGAGAAACTTATAGCAGGAACCTCTTCTCAAGAGTATGTACAAGACATCGCTGGGCGGGAAAAGGTTTGGCTCACACGGTTTGCGAAGGCCCGTCATCCGGCAGACCCCTTGAGACAGCCAGATAGTCAAGAATCCCCCAGGTGTCATATTCAGCTTCTCGACCAGTATCTGGAAGTTGTGCCTTATTTGTTCCCGTCAAATCCGGGCTTAAACTGTTCCGTACTTTGGCCCCCCGATTTACACGCGGGTAACATTTTCGTCCAATGGAGTCTAGTGTTAGTTAGCACCTGGCCTTTAGTGTAAGGCTTTCTGGATATATGGGAGTGTAGTTAGGAAGTAGGAGACCTTTGTCAGAGAAGGCTTGTTTCTCGGATATTGGCATATTGCGCAGTTCTAGGTTAGATGCTATCGGGGAACCAACTATCTTGTCTGCTATTCAGGGTGTTGATAAAAGCAGTGAAATCATATATATATAGGTCATGGTCTTTAGATATTGGAAAGCATGCTTTTAGTAATAACTGGTATTCAATAAGGAGATTTTCGAAAAAGGAAGATGAGACCGGATACAATATATATTAATTGAAGAGGGCTTTCATGGGTTGCTCGATTAGGGGTTTCCCACCCATGGCATTTAGCAATATGATACGCATATTTAATATATGCGACTCATTAACAAGGACCGCTTGATACATAATACCACTTGCTGGGCTGAGGATTTTATATCTTTTCCAAGTTGATAAGGAAATATTGCTTTTCCAGGGACAGCTACCCAACATAGTTCTAGCATAATATTCATCAGAGATCTTTGCGCAAATACCATATCCACACTGATACTTGCCCGTGAGATAAGGAAAAAACAAAAACAAACAAACAAAAAGGGAAAATTGGTAAAATAGTGCGGGGTCCACTTGGGGAAGGTGCTAGAAAAAGAAAAAAAGATCTCCCCGACTGGGAGTCGAACCCAGGTCTCCCGCGCTTGTTCTCCTATGAGATGACAAGCGGAAATCATGACCGTTAGACCATCGAGGACTTGTTGAGTAAAGTATCAAATATTCTAATATTCGTACCTAACCAAGCTTTATCGGTAAATTAGCACGCTCATAGTATTTGTAAATTCGAGCTGTGTCTGCAAAGAGGCGAAGGTTAATCTAGCTTGTATGTATGAGCTGAGCAATGATGCTGTTTCTATCTTTTGGTGTATGATGAACTCGCTTGTGGTCTTCATGTAGCAGACAGACACACGCTCCTTCCTTTTCGGTCCTCCGGCCATCCTTCCATATCTTTTGTTCAGCCGAGAAAGAATAGTTTTAGATGAATGAGACAACTTCCGACCCTTTTTTTCTTTTGCTTTCTTTTGCTTGCAGCACTTCAGCCCATGAGCATTCTTTGTGGAGAATCATTGGACCTCAGCGTCTCAAACAAAGCTAGAGCCTATTTCTATTGACGTTGACACTGAGAAATGATTTTCAACTGTCCTATATCAAAACAACATGCGCTTTACATATACATTCCATAAAGCATAATATGACGACGTAGCTTCAACCATACTGCGCAAACACCTTACTTTTATACAAGCACAATACTTGCACTAGGGACCTCTAAAAGGCATCGTCCTGGAGACGGCCCCCTTTTGTTCAACCTTGGGCATGACCTAAATAAAGCACCGTCCTGGACAACTAAGTGGGTGCATTATGCTATAATATGCAATATCTCAAGAGATAATAAAGAATGGAACACAGAAGAGGTTAACCCAAATTTGATGATTGGAAGAAAGTTATTGAGTAGCTAGCTGCCCCTGATACGTGATAGTGAATGAGTTACATTCTGCTTAATTAAGTCTCACGATATACTATCGAGTCAATAAAATCTTGCAGGTTCCTGCATCATGCTTGCATTGGCGAAAGCGTGGTTATACGAAGTATTTATATTCAGACCCTGGTCCGGAGTCCCGCCAACTGGCTTGTACTAAGCATCCAAAGCAGAGAGGCTACTTGAACAGATTAGCCAAATAGAAGTGCATCAACCATATCACAATAAATTGAAGCGTTCTGGGCCCGGAAATTTTGAGAAAACAAAAAGTCATGGCAAGTGTTATTGCTGGATCCAATCAATTACCGGTACTCCGTACATCAATGAGACAATCCTCTCGAGGCCTGGGAGGAAACGAGTACGTGGTTCACCTATTCATAGACCTCACCTTAGGTACGAATACGAGTTTGATTATGTACAGCCACAGTTTGGGAAAAGAAGCTAAGGGGTTGAACATACTGTATACTCGCAACAGCACAGTGGGCGGGTCGGAGACCAGATACCTCCGAGTGGGGTTCTCTCACAGCAGGATTGCCCCTGATAGTCCGATGCTAAATCAAAACCGTAAATCTCAATCAAGTTTGTCCTTCCTGTGTCGTGCGATTTAAAGGGAAGAGAATATTGTGTTCTTTTCGGTGATTTAAATAGTACAGGAATATGACGGGTCTATTAATAGCTTCGTCTTGGCGCTTATTTGTAGGTGCGTACGGATGTGAGTTGTGCGAAGGGTGGCCCTGAAACGATCACATATTTCCCGTAGTGTAGTTCAAACTTAGTATTCTGCATAATCTATCAGAAAAATGGGCGATTTTAGTAACCTCCACCCAGATTTGCCATGGGCTGATAAAAATAGGGTTAATGATCGTCATGTTACCCCTGATGGCTGAGTCAGCCCATAAGGCTTTTGCGCTAGTCCTGATATAGTAAGGCAGCAGTTTGTCCATCCTACTCCAGAACGAGTTACGTCCGTAACCTCGACTGCGGAGTTGATGTTAACTGCCAGCCGTGATTGCTTCGTCATTCCCATTCTTTCCTCACCCCCATTCTCCCGCTCGATTTTCCCCTTTATCAAGCACTTTGCTTCCGATTTACTTTATTAGGACTCTTGTACTTTCTCTTTTCCCATAAATTATACATCCAAGGAGGAGACAAGACTACTCTGATGGCTTCCCAACAGGCGGTATCTTTCCCCTCCGTCTAGCTTCATACGCTGCTCCTATCGGGAACTATCTCGAGGCGGGACACGCTGTACTCTACCATGTACATTTGCCCTCGAAATTCCACATATATCGCGCCTTTTACCCTTCTTACGATTTTGTTATTCTCTTGTTTGAGTTATCTCTCATACGTTAAATCTGAATCGGATTCGATTTATTCCGATTCTTCATGGACGGCACCTCTCTAAACTCCGAAGCCCACCCGGCTTCCTCGTCGGACATGCAGAGTATCGGCAAACTTAATCGCTCGAAAACTTCCATTGATGATGCATTAGGGAGCTCTGGTAGGAGCAATGGCCGCTCGTCGTCGATCGACTCTACTTCCGACAGACCTAAGTCTCAAGCGGGCGAAGGAACTGATTCTACAAAGGCTGGCCCCAGCGGATTTTCAAAGCTCCTTGCCGCTAGGAAAAAGCGAAAGAAGAAGGAAAACCAAAAAGCGACTGAAGGGTTGCCGACACAATTCGAATTGGAAGGGGAGAAAGATGCACAAGATAGGCCAGATGAACCTTTCGAGGACAGGCCTCCATCAGCAGCCAACGACGGCCTAAACCCCCAGAATGATGCATTTAACCTACTGACTGATGACTCTGAACCTGAGCGGTGAGTTGTACCCGGTTTATCTGGCGCTGTATCGCCGACAATTAGCAAAGTGCTGATTATCCACTTTTCTCCAGGACCCCTCCTCTCACTGCCGAAAAGTCCCACGCTGGTTTTTACACAACCTCACCATTAATCAAGACAACATCTACGGACGCGAATGACACTGATGATGCTCAGGCGGATGTAGAATCTGCTGTCAGTGGGCCAAGTGCCACTGCGCATTCCGAGTCCAACGCAGATACAGAGCTCTCGAGGCCCACTTCTCAACCAAGCTTGACATTGGGTGTCCCGGAAGATCGCGGTGGCAAGAAAAGAAGCGTCTCACCAGGGAGACGGTGGAAAGGCGCATTCGGATCAAACCAGGATAAAAAAGATTCCAATCGAGACCGGTCATCTTCTACCCCAAGTGAGGGTAAGAAAGGCGGGGGTCTATTCGGAAGCAGTAGGAGAAGCAGTACATCATCAAAGAAAGCTCCGACCATTATCACCGAGTCTCCTCCGCCTGTGCCACTGCTGGTTCGTACTGACGTCAAGGAAGAGAAACCTGTGCAGCCCTCAGATCACGCTTCTCCAAGCACGCCCCCCCGCCGTACTATCCCAGCACCCCACACTACAGTGACCCCACCTACACCTCGAACCGAAGCTGCCGCTAATCTCTTCTCATCTCCGGATGTCACTGAATCGCCGGAATCTCTGAAAGGGAAAGACCCGCTGCCGCCAGGAGTTGTCGTAAGTCCGTCAGGGAACATGATCTCACACCGGCGGGTACGATCTGCTTCTTCCGTTAGCCACAAGCCCAGTAAGCTGTCTAACTCAATATCTGCTCTGGGCCCAACTATCGAAGAAACGAAGGCGGCCTCGAAGACCAACCCTGCCACCCAACAAAGTGGGTTTTTCTCTTCTGTCTTCAGTGCGGCACAAAACGCTGCCTCAACGCTTAGTAGCAGCCTCAATACTCAGTCAAAGACCCGCAGCCCCTCCCAACAGGTACCCACGGAGTCTGAGGATGTCTCGAGTAAGGATGGAGGAAGTAGCCAGAACGAGACGCAGGATTCTAGCAAAACCGAACAGAAAAAGCCATTGGCAATTGAGACACTAGGATCCGGGGATCTTGACTTCAGCCACTTAGATATTGCTGTGCCGCCTGGTGGGTCCGTCTCAACACCCGACGGTGTTGTTATTACGAAGCCGGACATACCATCTGAGAAGCGCAAAAACACCGCAGTTCATCAGCGAGATGAGGAGGCAGCAAGGCTTGAAGATCGACATGCTGCGCGTGCGGTCACCATGGCTTACGAGAAGCCGGCAGAAGTCTCGGTGGCCCCACCATCGGATGAGAGCCTGGAACTACAGTCCACAAGCTCACTTCCGAGAGACGCCACCGGTGACCATCCCTCTCCAAGTGGCAGCGTACTAGACGGTGAAATCAATGTTCGACCTTCTCGTAGCGGGAGCGTACGCAGCCGCCTGACTAGGCGGCGTCATCGAGGCTCATCAGCAGCAACTGCATCAACAGCAGCTGCCGCTGGGGCTAGTACGATGGCACTAGGGATTCCAGGTGGTAATTCAAGCGTGCCACGGCTGACTGGGTTTGCAGTTGCTAGTAAAAAGCGGAACAGGGACTTCCATCAACTGTTCCGCAGCGTCCCTGAAGACGATTATTTGATCGAGGATTATAGCTGTGCGTTGCAACGAGAGATCATATTGGCCGGACGCATCTACGTATCGGAGGGTCACATTTGCTTTTCGAGCAATATCTTAGGTTGGGTAACTACCCTGGTCATCAGCTTTGACGAAATCGTCGCGATAGAGAAAGAGTCAACAGCTATGGTGTTCCCTAACGCAATTGCCATTCAAACTTTGCATGCTCGTCACACCTTCCGGAGCTTGCTCAGCCGAGAGTCTACCTACGATTTGATGGTCAACATTTGGAAGATTAATCATCCGGCTCTCAAGAGCTCAGTAAATGGTACCAGAGTCGACCAGGGTACAGGGGACAAAACTGAGAAGGCGGGAGAGGAGAGCGAGGGTGGGAGTGAAGATGAAGATGAGATTTATGATGAGGACGAAGATGGTGATAATGCTGATAGTTTCTTTGAGCCTGGCGATGCCAGTGTCAATGGAAGTGACAAGTCACTTCCACTCAAGGGCCTCAGCCGACAAGCTTCTGGGAACCTACCAGTCAATGGCACAGCCCCAACAACATCGAACACGAATAACGACCCGCGCGGCGGAAAATCGTCAAATGAGAACGCAGATGGAGATTTTCCTGGCCCTGCTACCCATGGTCCTACGACATACACTGATCCCGCGGGCCAGTATGATAAAGTTATTAAAGATGAGATTATTCCCGCCCCTCTTGGAAAGGTTTACTCTTATGTATTTGGACCGGCATCGACAAACTTTATGCCCAAGTTCCTTGTGGACAATCAGAAATCCGGCGAGCTTCAGTTCGATATTGAAAACGGTGGTCTGACCAACGAAAGCAGGACGAGACAATACTCGTACATCAAGCCGCTTAATGGCTCCATCGGACCTAAGCAAACCAAATGTATCAGTACTGAAACCCTGGATTTCTTAGACTTGGAGAAGGCGGTTCTTGTTACGCTAAGCACTCAGACTCCCGACGTACCAAGTGGGAATGTTTTCTGCACCAAGACAAAGTACCTGTTCACCTGGGCCGCGAACAACCAGACACGTTTCTTAATGACGTGCACCATCGAATGGTCCGGGAAAAGTTGGCTGAAAGGTAAGTTCGCTACTATTCTCGAGTCTTAAGACCAAGGCACTGATGCGGTTTAGGCCCTATTGAAAAGGGTGCTATTGATGGTCAGGGAACATTCGGGAGCGATCTCATCAGTGCGCTCAGAGCTGCTGTTGCTCCTCGTGCTCGCGCCGCCTCCAAGGCCGGAGGCAAAGGGAAAGGACGTCGCAAGAAGGGAGATGTTGCCAACGAGGAAGCGGCTGCTGCTGCTGCTAAAGCAGCAAGCGATGCGGCCAAGCAACAAGCACAAACTTGGGGACCTCTTGAACCAATACGCGGAGTTTTGGAACCTATAGCCGGCGTTCTTAAGCCTCTGTGGAACGGAAACCTGGCCATCCTAGTCATTGGTATATTGCTCTTCCTAATCTTCTTCCGGACACCCTCGCAGCCGTCAATATTGTCTCACGACATTGGATGTCCCGGCTATTCATTACCTCAGCGACTGGCTGCTTATGAGGAGATGTGGAGAAGAGAGGAGAGCGAGCTGTGGAGTTGGTTGGAGGACCGCGTGGGGATGGACGGCATGGTCTTCCCAACCGTCGACAGGTCAGGCGAAGCGCGGGCGCATGAAAGAGCTCGAAAAGTACAGAGCGGGCGCGATTTTATCAACAAGCTAGACGAAGACAAAATGTCAGTGCGCGAGATGGACCATGCTATACGGACCACCCGTGAGAAGCTCGACACTCTTGAAAAGATCCTGACGAATCGGAAAATGCAAGCGAAGGCAGGGGAGGACACATTGCATTCGGAGTTGTAGGAAGGTGGGTTCCCTGTCTGCTTGGGAAGATGCAGCCAAGAGGCAAGGGACAACGATAGAATAAACTTTTATCCTGAACTCTTGTACAGTTGAGTTCAGTGTCATTCACTTTACTTTTCTTTTCAATTATGGGATTTATCCTCTTTATTTCAGCGGGTGCTTGGTGTTTGGATTTCCATATTACATTCCCCTCCCACATCCAATTATCAGGTCATTTCCGACAAGAATCAGTTATTGATTTGCATACTGCTGAGCGGAGCATTATCTTTCCTCTCTTTGTGTTTCTATATTTGCTTTGGATTTATTCTGACCAGCTCTCGGGAGAGTTTTCTTTGTATATGTGCGCTTACTCTATGTCCATACAACAATCTCAAAATAACTTTTCCTTTTGTTTCACTTAGTCTATCTAAGCTCTTGTAATACACTCCGGACCCTTTTAGACTTGTACGAAGGGTCCACTATGCTTTTTGGTCTTTAACGTAGTATACCAATGCTCCTAACAACGAACTAAGCGTTTAGGGTTCCTGCCGAGTAAACTTATTTGAAATATTATTCCAGTGGCTATTTAGCAACTCAAGGTTGGTGTCTAGGTGGGGTATTTAGGATTGCAGTATTATATAGACAGAGTATTCTATATGCCTTTTTATGTGGTTTACGGTAGGTAATAAATTATAGTAGGACAGGATATATTTAGCAAGAGCAATAAATCTAGACCGTTAAATACTTCTCAGAAAGTTATAGTTCAAGTCTTGTGTATAGTACAGTACATAACTCAGCAGTGCACAAGACAGCATTACATTTGTATAGAATATGCCAAAGCTAGATCTCCGGACATCATGATAAGCAAAAGCAAGATAAAAGAAGCGTAGATCATAAATATATAAACATCGGAGAAAAGAACCAAGCTAGGGAGGTATAACAAAGCAATATCAAAGTCATAGTTGTATATGCGTGTACGGTTTAGAAAGAAAAGCTCATGCGGTCGTAAAGGGCTTTTATGATGGCACAGAAGGCGAGGACTTTCCTATGTTCCGTCATAGGGCTTAGGGCGCGAGGAAACTGACAATCGCGGTTCGTCCTGTTCTTCAATCTTTTGTTGCCGTTTCTGTTTCTTTTTATTGACCTTCTTCATTGCTTCTTTAGTGAGTTGCTCACGGAACAGCCGTTCCACCACATCCTTCTTCCGAGTCTTTCTATCGCCAATCATGATGAGGACGCCACCGGTGATATTGCAAGTAATTGAACAACAAAGAATGACAGTAGTTAGGGCGAAAGGACGGTGGTGATAACTGATGCCCCACGTGCAGGCGCCGAGCGCGATTTGAAGCATGGAATGGCAGTCTAACAGGACAACAATGGCGATAAGCATGCGAAGAGGGAAGGCGTGGTGGGTCAGGGTTTCGTGAGGTTTGTAGAAGGTATGAGACTTGGACAATTTCGTTTGATGGTGAATCAGCTTTTGCTGCTGCAGACGGTTCAGCACAGTAAACTCATACTCTTCGTCTTTAGGCGTATCCCCGAATTCAACGTCGACATCGATCTCGCGACGAGTGGGTAGATCATTTTTATCTTTGAGATCTGGCAGTTGACGCTTTCGACGGACTTTCCATGTTCGAAATGTGTAGTGAGCAATGAAACACATGTGGTATGTGTCAATCGCACGGAACGGTGCTAGCCCATCACCCATAATGGCGAACAAGGCGACAAGAACGTTGTCAATCACGTTGATGATGTACAGCTGCCGCCCACCGACGTTAATCCAACCTGATCATTTAATTAGCCCTATGCACATAAAAGGCCACAGGCCAGCAAAGAAAACTAGGGTCATACCAATCAGGAACAGCACCCAGGCTAGACCGAAAAGCGTAATAAGAGTTGCGTATAGGGTGATGAGAAACCCGAGTGCTACAGGGCCAACAGTCAGTAAGCGATCCAGTGCTGCAACTGGTCAGTACATACGTTTAGAAACATATTTCCCAAAGCCCTTCATTGCCCGTTTAAACTTGGAACGACGAGAATGTAACATGTGCCTGACATGATCGTTCAATTCTTCTATGTCTCTCGCTGTCCAACCCTCGAGATTGCTTCCTTCAGGTAGCACGGCAAATTGTGGATCTTGTTTCCCCAAGACTGCTGATAGGCTTGTCAAGGGTCGTTCTAGTGATGGACGGCCTTCAAGGGGTTTCTCGAATGGCTCCTCGCCCTCTTCTGTTTCCGTCGTTTCCTCCCCAGTCGACTCCGACGACTCTCTCGGCGGTGAAAGTGCATAAGTCTGGTTGCGATTGATTAACGGACCCAAATTGGGCACGAACAAGGAGTTTTGGACATTTGTCAGGGTCGATAGTGCTGAAACTTCCGGGTCTGGCTAATGTTAGGGCATGTTGGCATAGATGCCTGATTCAGGGCATACCAATAACATCTAAGACATCCACCACGTGGGGATGGTATTCATTGTGCGTAGTGTCGGCCTCTGATGGAGGAGCGGCCCCGCTCGCAGATACGCGATTCCGCGAGAACCGGTTCATAGCTGCTTCACTCGTCCAACGCAGAAGACCCAAACTTCCTCGCCTTTGCACCCGGGGTGGTGGGGACCCCGAGGGAGGCACTTCGGAAAACGGCCGACTCGAAGGAGCTAAATTGATCGGACTTAGATTTGCCGGCTCTTCCATCAAGGGATGCATTTGGTCTTGTGGGAGACGGGGAAGGGCAGATGGATTGGGAGCAGACCACCTCCCAGGCCGGGGCTCGGAACTGCTGCGGCGACGATTTCCCTGCCATGAGTCTTCATCTGCGCCTTTTGCGGGAGGCGGCGATGCGACATTGATACTTGAAGCATTGCCAGTGCCCCGAGAGACTCCGGGCTGGATTTGGGGGATGGCGGTCTCCAAAGACGGGAGGCGCTGAAGGCGGATGGTAGGGCGGCGAGAGCGGAGCGACGTCGCACGTTGTCGCTGCTGTAATGACGTCGGTTGAGGAGTCGTGGAGGGTGGCCTCGGACCTTCTGCAGAAGAACCATTAGAGCCGTCGACGGGCTCTATATGATCCATCGCGAGAAGAATCCTCTCTTAGCCTGAGGGGATTAGAATCAGCCAAACGAGTGAAGATTGCAAAGGCAAGTTGAAGTATACTAACAGGAGAGAAAAACTGGAAAACGAAGGGGAAGAGGAGAAGAATGGGGTTCCATGTGAACTCTATTGCCATTGCTTGAGTAAGCGCGCCAAGCCGTGGGACTGACTAACCTTATTCTGCTCGGCCTCTTGGTTGGCTCAAAACTCAGGCCAACACTAATACTCTATTCGATAAGATCCCCCGTCGGTAGTTCTGGACCTCCGTACAGTCTATAAAAAAAGGTGGAGACTGACTTACTCGGAACCATTTATGTCCAACAGGAGAGGTAACGTAAATAAATATCACTGTTCTTCACAAAGACCTCAATGGGCCAACAATCATAAATCAATAAAGAATGTTGTTACTGTGTGGTATACGAGTCATCAGCCAAAGCCCTAGGTATCTTGATTACCTTCTACGTCCCGGCTGCCTGGCCCATAGGCATTCACACCAACAGAACACAACACCCACCTAAAGCTGACATTATGGAGTATAAGATAGAAAATCAAAGGTACCTCAACTATTCTAGGCTGAGTTGTCATTGATCGACATGGCCAATCTCTTTGTTCAGAGAACAATAACAATGTCATCAGAAATTAACATTCACTACTGTTCAACGCATCTCACAACCCTAACTAGCTCTTATATTCTAATCTCACCACAAAATGATCCCCTCCTCAATTAACATCTTCAACCAGAAAGCTCTCACTATCTCTTCAGAAACAAAGTACCTGACCAGAAGGTCAAGAATACCAAGCTTTAACAAGGTAAATAGGCGGGGCCTATAACGGTGAGTGTACAATCACTAATAGGAAGCCAGCGTTCAAGAGACACCAAGAACATTTGATGCACTGGCTTCCCTGCGACAAGTTTGATGCTGACGTGGTTAGAATCTTACTACTGAGATCGACCGACCACCCTTGCATATTGCGATACCGTTCTCTCTTGTGAATGCGTACTTCTTAGAGAATGGCCAAGAAGCGACCTGCCTCGTCGGATATGCACTCCGACCAACCCACAAAGAAAGCAAAAGTTCTGAACGCGAATCAAGACTGGATCCTCGATGAGGACGAAATCCCTGACACACCGTCATCCCCATTGTCTCCCAGCGAGACCAACGATAGTTCTGCCGACACGGAAGCCCTGTCCGAATCCTCCACTACGGGCCCAGCCACACCGTCTCCTTATACCGTCGAGTTCTTTGCGGATATGGCCAATACCATTGCGAATCTCTTTCCTTTTGAAGCGTTTGCCGAAGCCCATGGCTGCACGGTCGGTGACGTTTCGCAAGCGATCAGTGCTATGGTTGTTGCCCCCCTTTCCGATCCATCGTTTATCTGGCATAGTGATAATGAGATCTCGATCGCCGAATATGGACAAGGCATGATCAGTACTTGGAATGAGCATTACGAGTGCAAGCTTCGAAATGCTGCTACAACGAAGTCAATTATCGATCTCACAACCCAGACTGGCTCCACAAGCTCTTCGGGAGCTGAAACATCCTCCGAAGAGAGGAGTGTCTTGTCAGCAAGTCTCGATAAAGAACCTCCTGAAGAAACGTCGTCAGAAGATGAAGTTGAGCTTCCGGATAGCGAGGTACCGGGTCTACCAAAGAAGAGTTGCCTCAGCACACAGTCACAGAAAGCAGCGGGTCGACGGGCCAAGACGGTGAGATGGGCCCCTCCCCTCTCGCCGGCCGTTCGTGAGAAGGTGTACAGGGACGACTATGGCAACTATGTCCCGGTCCCGACACCAGAAGAGATTCAGGAAAAGGAGCGCCAAAAATTGCGAGAGGAAATGCGGGCGAGCAAGGGGCTACTTGAACGGCCGGAACCAACATACAATGCATTTGACCTAGAGGTCCTTTCAGGTTTTGACGACCTATCATATGTGGTGTAGCCTCATCATTTTGTACATTGATGACCCTAGATTATTCTTATTCTTATTCTTCTTTGTCTTTATTGGTATTTTTTTTTTTTTTTCTTTCTTTCCTCATCTCCGTTGTTTATTGTTGTTTGCCAATAAGCGGGGACGGCGCCGTAGCGTCAGGATTGACGTAGCTGCGGGCCTCTTGATCTGCAGCACATACGACCGATGTTGGTTGAAGAATGGGTTACATTGTCCCTTTCAGGAGTTTAATTTGAATATTTTTTTGAGACTCATAAGAGTTACTGCTGATAAATCTTTCGTAAATACTATGTATATTAGTTCCTTGAGTTTCCCATGCGATTGAGTTGCCGATATGCAAGATGTGCGAGGAGATTTTGGTTGATCTCACATGAGAGTGCGTTTAGTAAGTTCGATTGGACGAAATTGAACCACATCCCAAGATTCCAGGATTGTTGTGTGCTCCACTATATGATGGAGTAAGAGAAAGATCCCTTATCCACTCAAATGGCTGATGAGAGAGCGCGTGGAGAAACTATGACGGGATCTGACCAGATATATGTTGGCAAGTGGAGAACCCGGTTGCTGGAAGATACGATGTGTTTTTCTACGGAGTATGATCTGGAATGTTCCCCCCCAAGGAGGGGTAGAGTCGAGGGTGCGAATTGGGCGGTCAGAAGTATCCCACCGTAAGAGTTGAAGGGAACAATAAGAAAATTCACATTATGTGTAGGGGTATTTTGTCGGGGTAAGAAAAGTTGGCGGAGGGGGAACGGTTGTAGGGCGATTTGTAGGTCATGTGCCCATCATGAGATCAATGAGTCAGATGTGTTGTTTTTCCTTTTTTTGTTTTCGTTGCAGAAAATCTGCTTAACAACGGGCGGTGATGTCAGATATGAGCGCTAAGAGAGACCCTAACCCGGAGTGGGCAAAGGTGCCTGAAGACTGGCCAGACCGCCGCCTTCCAATCCCGGAGCTCCGTTGGGTGTCGAAGTGACTAACGACACGTCGTGATTACCACTAGCATCGTCAGCCTGAGGCCACAACCTACCCGTCCCGGCTTAGCGTGCCACCCTCGCTGCCTGCCCTTTTTCTCTCTCCTTCTCCTTTCTGCCCCGTCGACTTCATCCTTCCTCTCAAGGCAAATCTCCATCGTGTTCAACTAAGGATTTCCCCCGTCAACCACACGTATCTAGGGCACCAAGCTACCCTTTTCCTCCTCCCCCCTCTTCAAGTTACTCCCACCCATCCATTCCAAGGAGTTTCAAGTACAGGCAGCCTTTAGCTACCCTGAGTCCTTGACAACACACAACCGGTCAGGTTTACTCGCGATCTCAACCAAGTATCTTCAACTCTCGACCTTGTGATCTCAGCCATCAAGATGTCTACTGCCGTCGAAAACCACGCCGACAACCAGGCCGCTACCACCCCCGCCGCCACTGAGGCTACTACCAACGGCACTGCTCCTGCCGCTCCGGCGCAGTCCACCGATGCTGCTGCCGCCAGTGCTGATGAGGGACGTCGGCTGTACATTGGGAATCTCGCTTATGCGACCACTGAGGGGGAGCTCAAGGAGTTCTTCAAGAACTACAAGGTGTAAGTCTTTCATGTCGAGTTACCTGTCGCCTGTTTGTCAAGGTGTTCCTTTGTTTGGTCATAAGGTTTCTTGGCCTGCCGGTGTTAGTTGCAGGCCAAGGAGATCATCAACCCATCCCGCTTCCGTAATGCCCAACTACTACAGGAGTGTTCTCAGTTTCTTTTATGAAGGGCTTGCCATGACTCAATTGCATGTCTACCACTGAAGACGCGCGTTCCAGCTGTGGTTCGCATTATCAATAATGACATAAGCTAGATGCTAATACACAATTGGTATAGTGAAAGTGTCTCCATCCCTGTGAACCCTCGTACCAACCGCCCTGTTGGATACGCCTTCGTGGATCTTGCTACTGCCCACGAGGCTACCTCTGCCATTAGTGAACTCTCTGGAAAGGAGATTCTCCAGCGCAAGGTTTCTGTTCAGCTGGCCCACAAGCCTGAGCCTGCCGAGGCCAAGGCCGAGGGTGCTGTAAGTGGCGGTGAGGGTGCCAGTGGCAATGAGGGCCGCAGGAGGACCGGAGGTCGTGGCCGTGGCCGCGGCCGCGGTCGCGGTCGTGGAGGTCGCCTCGGCCGTGGAGGCCGTGCTGTAAGTTCACTAATCTCAGAATGAACGCTAGATTCTTGAGACACTAATGTCTTCCATAGCAGAGCCAGCCCCAGAATGGCCAGGCTGCTACTCCCGCTGAGCCTACCAACGTCCCAGGTCAGGCCGCTCCTCTGACTGAGACTACCAACCAGACTGAAGCTGCTGCTACCTCTGAGTCTGGTAAGCAGGCTGCTAAGCCTCGTGCCCGCCCCCAGAAGCAGCGCGGCCCCCCTGAGGATGGAATTCCTTCCAAGACCAAGGTCATGGTTGCCAACCTTCCTTATGATCTGAGTGAGGACAAGGTGTGTATATTCTTGTTGGTTTTTGAGTTTTGGTCGCTAATCCTTCCTACAGCTCAAGGAGATCTTCGCCGCCTACTCGCCCGTTTCCGCTAAGATCGCTCTGCGTCCCATTCCCCGCTTTATGATCAAGAAGCTTCAGGCCCGCAACGAGCGCCGTAAGGGCCGTGGCTTTGGTTTCGTCACTCTTGGCTCTGAGGAGCTCCAGGAGAAGGCCGTGAAGGAAATGAACGGCAAGGAGATCGAGGGTCGTGAGATTGCCGTCAAGGTCGCCATCGACAGCCCCGGCAAGGAAGACGACGCTGTTGCCGCGCCCGCCACCGACGCTGAGAAGACTGAGCCGGCAACCGAAGCTCCGGCGCAGGAGAACGCTGCTCCCGCTGCTGCTTAAAGGACAAGTCGTTCTCAACCGGAACGAATCACAGATCTCGACATGCCCACTGTATAGTCGAGATTTATTGGAGGAAGAGAAAGGACCTTCGTACGGATGATAACTTCATACTCTGCCGTCGAGGAGCGTTTTTACAAAAGTCAAAAAAAGGTAAAAAAGACAACGAGGCCAACTACCAAACGCAAAAGTTATGAAAATATTATTCCCGTTCGAAGCGGTCATAGGGGACGAATTTATCATGAGGATGAGGCATTCATTATTTCCTATGTTTTTTGCGCACGAACTGCCGCGAGGCATTCGTGCGACTGGAGCGACGAGAGACACCGTAATGTGTGGTTTTCACGGAGACGTGACCTTTTGCTAACGACTATTGCCTTTCTGCTATCTTGTATCTTAGCAACCATTTAGTTTATGATTGATTAGCCGCAAGGCTGGCCTTGTAGTGATTGTTTCCTGGAGCCTTCCATGACTGATAATAGATATGTCCCGCTGTAGATGAGATAAAACAGTTCATATATGTGATACACCTTATTCTCTTTTATAAGTAAAGCGTATCAGCACACGGCTGCAAGAAGGAATGCAGTCATACTCTGGCATTCATTGATTGGACTCCACTGGTGCCATAGGAACAGCACGCAAAAGTGGAACTCTGCAGTGATCTCCCTAATTGAGGCCAATTAAGCCTGATTTTCCCTCTTGGCAGTCTCAATTAACTGCCACAACCACCTCATCACCACCTTGACACTTGAACTTGCGGCACCTTGGGGCTTTTCTCCGTGCTTTAATCATATTTTACAGAGAGGGAGCGACAAAGACAGGGCTATCGAACCGACTGTGATCTCGCATACTTCTCTGTACTTCGGTGCGGAGATAGAAAGACCGGCATACTAACGGCAGAGAGGGGCGCTCCAGCCGATTCCACCTCCACACTGTCTAACCCTCGCGCCACCAGAGCAACCCCTTAGGCACGGAGGGTTGAGATCAATTATCTTTTCTCATTATATCTCTTATTTTCCTACTTGACTCAATCAGCATATCTCATTATTCATCATGTCGAAAATGTGGGAGGTAGATCCGGAGACGAAGGCGAAGGTATGCCATCTCAATCATTACCCTGTAAACGGCCAGGGTCATGAAACTAGATCTGTCTAATCTGTACGATAATGTGTCCAGCTCCTCCAAATCTCCAAAACCAACGGAAACGATAAATGCTGCGACTGCGGCGCGCCATCGCCACAATGGGTTCGTCTCCTACAACACATTTCCGTCTATGCCTGCACCTACATCTCAAACGGCCACCTCTTGTCATAACCTTCACTAATATGTCTCGGCCTTGTTTTCTTGCTTCTATCAGGCCTCCCCTAAATTCGGAATATTCATCTGTCTCAATTGCGCGGGCACCCACCGCGGCCTAGGTGTCCACATCTCTTTCGTCCGATCCATCACCATGGACGCCTTCAAGATCGCCGAGATCCAACGTATGGAGCTTGGGGGTAACGAACCATGGAAGACATTCTTCGATGATCACATCGTCACTCAGTCCGAAGGCCGTACATTCGAAGACTCAACCATCAAAGAGCGCTACGAGGGTGACGTAGGCGAGGAATGGAAAGAGAGACTCTCCGCCAAAGTCGAGGGGCGAGAATACGTCCCGGGACAGAAACCACCCCAACCGAAGAAGAAACCGGTCGTGGAACCCGCCTCTTCGCGGTCAAGCACACCGCTGGGTCGGGCCTCTCCTGCGTCGCATGATGGGTTTGGAGGTATGGACGGTGGACGGAAAGAGCGTAACGAGGCATATTTTGCGAAACTGGGCTCGGAGAATGCCACGCGACCGGACTCTGTTCCACCATCGCAGGGTGGAAAGTTCACTGGATTTGGTGGTGGTCTGCCAGCTTCATCGGGATCGTCGAGAAATACCCCCGGAGGAAATATTCCCGGTTTCGACGATTTCCAGAAAGATCCTATGGCCGCCTTGACCAAAGGGTTCGGCTGGTTTACGTCTACTGTTGGAAAGGGTGCGAAGACTGTGAACGACTCATATATTCAGCCTACCGCTAAGTCGGTATGTTCTTATTCCCTAAATATCCTCCCCTTCTCCAGTGCTCCACACTAACATAGATCTTTTTTTCAGATAGCGGAATCCGACTTCGCAGCCCAAGCCCGCCAACATGCCACCCAGCTTGGTCAAACCGTCCAAGTCGGCGCCCGCGGCGCGGCTGGTCAATTCCAACGATTCGTAGAAGGCCCAGACGAGAACAACGCCGGCCGTCGTCGCGCCGAACCCGAACGCAAAGATTTCTGGGACGACTTTTCCAGCCTCGCGCAAGAGGACAACCACCGCAGAAATGCCTCCCGGTCCAGCGCCATCGGAACTGCAGCCATGAAACCTGGCCCTACCTCCAGTACCGGCGCCGCGACAGGCAATGCATCGTCAACGACCGCGAAGGAAAAGGATGAGTGGGACAATGATTGGTGATTTTATTTTGGAGTTGTAGAATACATAACTGAAGCGTAGTGCATTTAGTGTTTTGTTGCCTTTCTTCTTCGGTTGCCGGGAAATGGTTATATATATCTTTTTCTGTTAGATCGCTCAGGCCCCGTGCTCTTTGTGCGTGTTATAGACGTGACGACAATGTTCGCTTGCCGTTCATTTGGGTATCGTTGTAGGTGAGCTGGTTTATATTCTTGTTTGACGGGGTCTGGTTATTACTACTGTGGCCGCATTTTAGATCGTGCCTAGATTGTATAGATGCTAGCAAGGTGTCTTGTTCAGCAGGCTGGATCCACTACCCGTGGTATGACGCTAGGACGTCTCATTGCAAATGATATACTACTATACATTTATCCCATTATATTTTGTTCTTACATAAATAACTCCCGTCACTGCAATCCAGAGTAGAGAAACAGTACTGTGCAATGCCACAAAAGCCAAATAACCACTTAGAAAAAGTCACCTCTCAGCTCGGCAAGCACAGCCTTCTGTCTCGGCGCACTCATCTTCTCGAACCGATCGACGCTCATGACGAATGTGCCGCGTCCTGCGCTCAAACTACGCAGGTGTTTGAGATACCCGACCATTTCCTTGAGGGGTACCTTGGCCGTGATGGTTCGGGGTCTGTTAGCCGATGTCGGGAGATCAATTCCCACGGTGGACGACTGGAAGGGATCAGGCGGGGCGTAGACCTTGTTCGGGTCGATGGGAGGAAGGAGATCGTCTGTTGGGCTTGAGGCGATATCTGTTGTTGGAAGGGGTATTTCCTCGTCGAGGGAGATGATGTGGCCGCCACGGGATGAAGAGATGTCGTGGACGACGGCGCCGAGACTGGCTTCATCTACGCTGATGATCACGTTCATGACTGGTTCCATGAGGGATGTGCCCGCTGCGGAGGGGAGGTCTCGGAGGGCGGAGGAGGTTGCGAGACGGGCTGCGGCGGAGATGGCGGAGGGGGTGGATTCGTTGCCGAAGAGGTGTTCGGCTGGGTCGAAGGTGAGGGTGACGCGGGTGCCGTGCATGGGGAAGGTGAATTGAGGACCGCGGGCGAGTGCCGCGAGACAGCCGTTCTGGAGGGCTGTGCGGAAGGCGTGCACGTCTAGGCCTGGGGGCAGGAGGGGGCTCTCCTCGATGCCCTTTTTGTTGACTTCGACTTGGAGGCCCGGTGCTTGGATGATGATTTGGTTGCCGTCTGTGGTTTGGATGGAGAGTGCCGATGGGCCGGGTTGGGTGGTGGTGTCTTCGGGGTCGAAGGGTTCGACGGTTACGGTGCAGCCGGCTTTGCCTTTGCGGCCGGCGATTTCTTTGTCGAAGATCTTGGTTATGGGGCCGGAGGCGCCGAGGGGGCATTCGCGGTAGCCGATTTCGATGCGGCCCATGGAGGCTTTGGCTTTGAGGTCGTTGAGGAGGCGGTCTCGGGCGATTTCGAGGTGTAGTTCGCCCATGCCGCTGAGGAGGGTTTGGCCTGAGTCTTCGTCGACGGTGACGTGGAGGCTGGGATCCTCACGGAGGAGCATCGCGAGAGACTCTTGAAGTCGTTTCTCTTCGCTTAGGCTGTGGGGTTCAACGCTGGCAAAGAAGACGGGGGGTGGGACGTTGATCGGACGGAGTTGGAGGGTGTTGAGAGGTTCAGGGGGTGTGGCCTTGTTGCCGGAGTAGGTGACTAGGGTGTCTCCAGTTCGAGTGTGTTTGAGACCAGCGATGACTCCGATGTGGCCTTCGGGAATGGTGTCAACCTCGACGGCGTCATTCGCATACATCTTCAACAGACGAGGTGCCCGCTCTGACACATTCAGGTTGGTGTTGTACAGGACGCTATTTCGGTCGAGTGAGCCGGAATAGACGCGGACGTACACCAGAACACCACGCTTTGGGTCGTTGACGACCTTGAAGGCTAAGGCGCAGCCTTGGAGCTTTTCGATGGCGTGGCGGGACTCTGCTTGAATGGCAGACTTCTTTTTGTGCTTACCCTTGACAGAAGCCGCCTTCTCGCCTTGTTCAACTAGGAGATCTCCTGAAAGCAGGTGTCGGAGGCCACCCTTAACTCCGCCAATGCTGACTTCTGGTTCAGGAGTCTCAGGAGGGCTAGGGAGTAGATTCGTGACAGCGTCGAGTAGAGGCTGGACACCAATGTTTCGAAAGCTAGCACCGGCGAAGATGGGAATGATTTTCCTTCCCTGCTCCTCCAGTAGACATCTGCGCAGACTCTCGAGAATGTCATTCGCGGGAACTGCCAAATGGTCCTCTTCACAGTCGAAGAACTTCTCCACCATGGCTTCATCATGCTCACTTAGCAGTTCAACGAGGGCAACTCTCGCGCGCTTGAGTTCCTGTGCAAGCTGGGGCTCTTCACTGCTCAGCTGTTCAAGGTTGAACATCTTGACAGACTTGCCGTCTCCTTCCTCCCAACGAAGGCCTTGAAGATTGATAGCGTCGGCAATACCGATAAAACGCCCGTTTCCTCCTTCGAACCAGGGGATCTGACAGACAGCAGGCCATCCGCCCAGCCGGGAGGCAACCTCTCGGACTGTCCGGCCAAAGGCGGCCCCATCTCTGTCAAGCTTGTTCACGTAAACAATCCGGGGAATCCGGTAGGTACTTGCTTGGTGCCAGACTTGCTCTGTTTGAGCCTCGACACCGGCAACACCATCTAGAATGCATACCGCGCCATCTAGAATGCGCAAGGATCGCATGACTTCAAAAGTGAAGTCCGCGTGTCCAGGGGTGTCAATGAGGTTCACGGTATGAGATGACGCAGACCTTGGCGTTTGTGGCTCCTGCGGCGTTGTATTTCCATCACCGGCAGTTTGAGGTGGCCAATGGAAGGTAATAGCGGCAGATTGGATAGTAATTCCTCGAGCGCGCTCAGCAGGAAGGAAATCGGTGACCGTGGAGCCTTCATCCACGTCTCCTATCCTTCTTGTAAATCCGCTGTAATAGAGCATACGCTCTGTAGTGGTAGTCTTTCCCGCATCGATGTGGGCGATGATACCAATGTTTCTGGTTCGATCGAGGACCTCCGCTTGCCATTTGGAAGTACAAGTTGAGAATCCACTACCCCGAAGCAGGTGTAACCTTCCGGCACTTTTGATTACATGTGGATTGAGCCCGAGCCGGCTGATAGGCATAGATTGGAGTCGCGCTGCTTGGTGAGCGCGCAAGAGAGGAGCCGCGACCATTATCGCAATTCCCCCTGTAACATCTGATTATTAATAAATTGGCACAGTTTATCCGCTTGTATGCATGTTATATTACAAGCAAGAAACTAACAAGTGGGGCCCTTCAGAGACGTCAGCGTAGGTACAGCTGGGAAAAATGAAGTTCTCCAAATGTTGGATGTCACTGATGTGGATGCCTGGCCAATCAGGTGTCGGAATCAGCAACGACGTAACCTTTCGGCTTGTCTGTCTCTTCGGGTTGACATTCCATATTCCTTCTGCCTCCCACTCCACACTCCCGCATCCTTAATTTCCCCGTCACAGTACCCCTGCGGCTCTCAATTGTTTTCTGAGGGGATACAGGTAGGTCTCATAATATCGTCGCAGTAACATTCCGAAAATGCATCGCTAATATCTGCGTGTCTGCGGTGCAGACGTGGTCCCGTCGGAGCCATACTATTTATTCTCCATCCACCCCAGCAAAGCCAGATAGCCATGGACTACTCCGCTATATCGCAGGACCCCGAACACCCCGCAGGTACCTCTCCTTGGGCTTCCCCCCGACCTACCCAAACCACATTCCCTCCCTCGAGTACCAACGACATTCTTTCCGATCCGTTAGCTCCACCTCCGTACGATGCCGACAGGGAATCCCAGCCCGAAAGTTCTCTGCCTACCGGGGAGGAACAGACCAAGTCACCCGACCTCTCGGAAAGACTACAGAGCGCACAGCTAGGCGATCCAGATTACCAGAATGAGCAATCACAGTATGCCGCCCAACAGCAACAATATGCCCAGCAACCTCAGTCTCAGCTCCCCGCTAGGTATCAAACCGGGGCTAGACAGCATGCCAGACCGGCTCCTCTATATAAAATTCAGGCGAAGATTACGAGCTTAGAGAGGACAGGCAAAAAGGATCCCGTTCTGCGTTTTGATGTTCACGTGAGCAAGCTCCTTATTCGATAGTTGTCCACCGTCATCGCAACTAACCCCCCCTCTGCACAGACCAACATCCCCAAATTTAGAACCACTCAATATCGCGATGTCCGCCGTACCCATGCCGAATTTACTAAGCTCGCCGAACATTTGATGTCGGCGAACCCCGAAGCGATGGTTCCTGCGGTGCCGCCTCCATTGACCCCCGCCGGCGCAGGAACTGAAGAGGATGAGATTCGCGTGAAGGCGTCCATGCAGAAATGGCTGAACACCGTCTTGGGTAACGAGGTTCTGATGCAGGATGATGAGGTTGTCCTATTCGTTGAGAGTGATTTCGGCTATAGTCCGGTTGTTCGGATGAAGCAGCCTGCGACAGGTATGCGGAGAAAGGTCTTGAAGCAGTTCGCACCGCCCCCGGATGATACGCCTGAGCTACAGAATGCGCGACCTGTAGTGAAGATGTTCTATCTAGGAAGCATGGATGCTAGTCACAAGGTTGACCGTGTGGTCAAGGGCCGACGAGGTACGTGAGCGGGAGCGCTGTGGTGTAATGGCGCCAACTAATAAAGTACTTTAGGACTCGGCCTTGCCGAATCAGACTTTGGCGTAAAGCTGGGGCAGATGCATGTACAAGAGACGCACCCGGGCCTGGCCAATGCTTACCGGAAATTGGGAAAGGTCGTTCAGACAGTTGGGGATTATCACGCAGTCCAGGCTACCGCAGAGGCGACCACCATTGGGGAGCCGCTGAATTATCACTCCTCCGACGCTTTTATTGTGAAGGAAACCCTTACTAACCGCCACATTTTGCTTCGAGATTTGATTCAAGCTCAACAAGTCACCCGCAGCAAGCGCGCTGCAGCAGACCGGCTGAAAGTCAGCTCTTCTGTTCGTCCCGATAAAGTCGATGAAGCAATCAATGCTCTGGATGAGGCTCAGAGTCATGAAGACTACCTTACAAAGCGGACACACCGGGTGACGTCGAACCTACTTCAGGAGAAGCGCCGCTGGTTCGAGCGGACCACGAGTGACCTCTTGGCCAGCCTACGTGAGTACACACTGCGTCAGATTGATGCCGAGCGCCGTACCCTTGCAACTCTGGAGAGTGTTCGACCAGATATCCGGGCAATCGATTCGTCTGGTGGACTGAGCCGACTGGGCCGTGAATCACACCCGACTGTGCGACGGCCAAACCTCGGTTCAAGTCAGGGACCCAAGGGCGACGCCTGGAGCGGCATCCCTCGTCGCAGCGAAGGTCTTGGGCGCAGCATGAGTGGCAGTTTGGCCTCGCCTACTTCGGAGGCCGATGAAGAGGTGAATGGACAGGGCAAGGGAAGGTTGCGGTCCCCCAGTGGAGTCAGTTCCCTTGTCGAGGAAGATGATGAGGATCGACTGGATGCCCGCAATGCGGCGAGCCGGCTAGCGACTAGCACCTTCTGAACTTCTCCTGTAAATTACGGATATTCATGATTGTGAGATTCCCCTGTGACCGCCGTTCCTTTTTTTAAAGTGATCAATCCGTTGAGTCCGGGACGAAGATTGTTTCAGCCTCAATTTGCGTTCGATGATGTTTGATGTGCTTTCTCCCTTTCTGTCGTTGTATTTGCGCTCGAGATTTCTCTCGGATCTGCTTATGATGTTCTACCATCTCTGTGACCTGCGTAGTGGATGAACCCGCGTCTCCATGTGATAAACAAATAGGTATATACATTCAAAACATGCCCTAATCAACCGGAAGTCCATGTACACTATCCAGCAACTCCACGTCCAGCAATCCATGTCAATAACGCCTTCCCCGAGTAACTCCATCACTAAACCTCACAAACCCATCATTCGGTAGCTGGAACCACGCCGCCTTCTCCTTCACAAAGAAATGCGCACAGGGCTTCGGAACTACCCTGTCGAAACCATCGATTGTACCCGCGGCAATGTACAATCCCCCGGGCTCCGAGTCATACAACATACTGATACTCGATCCACACTGGGGACAGAACCCGCGCGTAGCGAAATCGCTAGACCGCCGTAGTGTCGGCTCCTCGTGGGTCCAGGTGATGCTCGTCGCAGAAAAGAGTGCCCAGGTCTGGTAGGGTCCGCCAGATTGTTTGCGGCAGGTTGTGCAGTGGCAGTTTGTGAGCTTCGTGGGCAAGACGTTCGTCGTGTAGGTTATGTGCTCGCAGGCGCAGGTGCCAGATAAGGTGGCGGTTTCCATTTTTCTTCCCTTTGTTTCCTGGTCGTACACCTCCGGGCCTTTTCTTTTTCGTTTTTGCAGGCGCTCGTGGTGGATCAAGTGGTGATACAAAGATCTGGTGAGGCCTTGTGAGAGGATGAGATCGGGGGTGGGTAGCTCGTATAAATTCTTTGTGCTGAAGGGTTTGCTAGGCTATTGTTCTATGGTCTTCGGGGGGAGAGTCCATTGTCGTAAAAGGAATCTGTGCTGACGACAATAGTAAGAGGTTGTAATGATATATATTGAGGTCTAGGGCGCAACTTGGAGGGTCCCATACCCATCTTGAGTTCTCTGATTGGCTGCTACGGATTGATGTACTATGAAATAATGAATGGATTCTGGATAATGCATTATGGCTTGGCACCACAAAACCCTTCCAGGCTGATCGGATAAGGAAACCACATCTAAGTATAGTATCCTGAGAAAGACAAAGAAGCACGGGACGCAGTCCCCCGCTGAGTTTCGAGACATGTAACCGGATCAGATATTCACTTCCTAGTTCTTCTCTGCTAGCCCACTTCTTTGGGTTGCATTCGCGCGGTCATCGAAGAGTTTCTGGATATACTCATAACCCGGTATGTTGTTTAATAAAGGCGCTGAGGAGAACTATATCCTCCCGCTATAGCCAATATTTCATAAGGGATAGTGAGCCACGATCTTGACCAAGGGGGATACGAAACCAAGTAAGTTATTTTGATGACCCTCCAATTCTGGAAAGGACCGATAGTATCAAGGACACTGGCTGCACATAGTTGTAAAACAATGTGGACAAAGGCGAATTTTGGTCTAGGGTTGCAGCTTACTTGTGGCAAAGGAGGGTACATCCTCGTGCGAATTTTTCACTCATTATGCTTTCTGTCAGCTGTAGCTGAATATAACCAAATAACCAATTCAATGCTTTCGAGCCTTTTTTTTTTT